GAGGAGGTAAGAAGTCATTTCAGTTTCTAAGAAATCCTGCTATTTTTCTTCGGACAAACTCTTTCTCTCTCTTTCCCTGGATAACTGGAATTACCTTCGCGATGTTTTTACGTCGCAAAATCACGCGAGCTTTTCTATTTTTCGAAGTTGCTCATTCGATATGCAACGCTTGGACAGTAGCGCTAGCTAAATTGGAACCAATCACCGGTGAGTTCCGTATCGAATTTCCCACGAATTTTTCATTGGAAAAGTCCAGCTTTTCGTAAGACTCGTAATCTTTGTCCGATGGGCAGCGTTTCAATTTCACACGAGATATCGCGATAAATTATCGATATTTAAGCGAGACACCAGGCGCGTCCGTTAACGGGACAGATCGTAATTGAATTTGCAACCGTATACGGACCACGATCTCTCTCGCGTTTCTTTGTGCGAGCTGATGCACTCGTTGCATCGGTTAGACACTCAAACGGAAAGACGATGACCCGGTACGTGTCTTGTCTTCGTTCGATCTCCGCTCGGGTCAAGTCGTTTGCATTTTACTGCCAGCTCGTCGCGACAACCAAAGCGAGACTTACCATCGCGTCGCTCGGAATCGTCGATTCGTTTATTGCTTCATCGTTGCACGAGTCGAAGCGACACAACAGCTTGTTTCTTTCTATTAATTACGCGGTCGAATCGATCTCGTACGTTGTTCGTGACTACGGTTATCGTCGATCGAGATTGCCAGCTTAAATCGATTACCGAGTCGCGACTGGATTTACGAGCGACGATGCTCTTGAAACTCTTTTGGTACGTAATAAAAGACGGTGGGTATCGATAAAAATTTCTTCGAAGATTGATAAGCTTCGTTAACGATTATTACTATTATTATTCATTCAAGGACGCTTGTCACCGTTAGTTGCCGATTATCAATGAAAAATTCGACTAGAATAACCGCGAAATTAGATTTACTTATTAGAGAGTCGGTCGGAATGGATCCAGCTCGAAATAAGTTGGATCCATTTACAGGTTGTACGTGCGAGACAGATGGACCGTAAAAGGTCTTACTCGATAGAGAGATGTTAAATCTACTTGACCTTCCCGATCAATCTTTCTTGTCGGATTAACTTCGTATCCTGTTAATTCGACAGTTTATGTTCTCGATTAAATAAATACAGCTGAAAATAACATTACGTCGCTAATGTACACTTCGGGATCGAGTATCGTTTCTAGATGCACATTGAAGTAACGAGCGTGTAATGGCGATTAAACTAGGTTCGTTCGAGACCCAACGATTATCAATTATCGACGCTTATTCCTAACAGCGTATATGTACATTACGATATACGTGTTTTGTACGCATTAAAAAGTAGTGATTTTATAAGGCATAATAGAACAGCTGTGAAATATAAATTTATCGGTCGGTTAGGGAAAAGATAGGAATCTTCCGGTACTCTTCGCGTAAAATTGTAGCCACTGGAACGTTAAAAAGAAGCAAATAAAAAATAAGGTATCGGATGCGCGTTCGCGTTAAAAGAATAGTGGAAAAAGCCGAGTGGCGCGAACCAGTTTATATCGTTAAGTATGAAAATAAGATGCAGGTGTGATAATATTTGCGGAGATAATAAAAAAATGGAAAAGAAAAGAAAAAATGCAAAAGAAAGTAAACTGTGGAAGGTTAGGCATTTGAGGCGTCGCGGGCGCGGGTGGGGGGTGCGCGGCGCGGGGAG